GGGGGGGATTTAGCGGAAGGGGAGCAGCAGCTGGCGGATGCCATAAGGCTTTGTATAAACTCTGCCAACTGGGGCTGCTCCCTCCCGATCATGCGCCCGGCGCTGTCTGGCCGAGGGGGAAGGGTTGAGCGGGGTGGAGTAGAGTGGCGGGTGGAGGACAACTGACAGGCGTCGTCTCGACGTCAAAACATGTCGCAGATAATTCCTCTCCCCCCATCTCCCTCGACTCATACCGAGAGCCCCTCGCCCCATTTCCACGCAACGCACATTTTTGTCCAACCTCTTATTTTCTGATAAGTGTGTTTGTTAAACTGACTGTTGAGAAAGTTTGCTGTCGGGAATCCTTGTGGACAGAGTACTTAGGCATGAAAAGTTGTGCGTATGGTCGGCAGGACCGACAGTAGCCTTCTGGTGAAGCTGAAATGCTGAAGAATGCGGAGAACTAGAAAACGGGAGTCCCCATGTTTAAGCATATTGGTTTCTGTTTTGTTGTTCCCCGCATTCTTCCTTGACCAACAAAACTTTGTTCTATTTACCTCCTCTTCATTATGACTTTCCGTATGATACCGCATGATTTATGGAACTTGAATTGGATCATTTTTGTATTAATCGCAATCACACACCCGAGGAGGAAACGACTAACTTTTGTTTCAGATTACCTGGATTACCTCTGGAGTATCCACCGGACTACGTTGCTTTTTCTCTAGGATTACCCCGGATTACCCTAAAATTTCCCCCGATTACTCCGGATTTATTTTTTTTTGAATTTTTCCGGATTACCTAACGAACCTACGAATTACCTAACGGCTGTCGTTTCCCCCTTGCACACACCGCATCACTTCCTTCTTCATTACATCCGTTATGACAAGGACCAACAGACCACGCGCACGGTATCTTGAGAACGGGTGAAGCCAATATGTCAGGTGGGCCTACTACTCGATAAATAGTGGGTCTTCGTCATATCCGCTATGCGTCAAAGACCAACTTTAAATGTTGTGGTATTTTAGTGGACTTAATTCATGTGTACTCAAAATAGAAAACGTATGCAGTGTTTAATGGGGGGGGGGGGGTAACGCCGGTCAGTGGAGATAAATAACATAAAGGTTTAGTGGACAAACTTGTCGTGCAATTCACGGTGGAGGTGTCGGACCTACGCGTGCAAGTCTTATAAATTTCCACAATGCGGTTGCAGACCGGGGCGGGCGGCGAGCGTGGCGGTGCCGAAGCAGTCCACGGCCGCCTTCATGGAGCTGCTGGGCCGGCCCACCACCTCGCTGGCACCGCCGGCGGCCTCCCAGTTGCTGCTGCGACGCCACTCCGCCCACTGCTCGTCGTCCTCCGGGCAAGCCGGCCAGTCTCCGCAAGGGCCACCGCCACCTGTGCCCGTGCGAACCAAGCCGGGGCCACCGCCGCCCATCTGCCAGCTTCTGACCAACCGGCCGTCCGCCTCCATGTCCATGGGGCCGCCCACGCTACTGCCGCCGCTGCCCGTGCCCCTGCCGCCGCCTCCGGGCTTGCATCGCGCCAACGCCACCACCGCTACCGCTACCGCCGCCTCACAGAGGAGGTCCTCCCACGGCACGGCCGCCCCCAACGCCCTCAGCACCCTCACGGAGATCCGCTGCCTGACGGCGTCCAGCCCCGGCCAGCAGCTCCCCGCCGCCCCCGACCCTACGGCACTGTGGGGCTCGAGGCGAAACACAGAGGACGAGGTAACAAGAAGTGAACTGTGTGTCGTTTCAATGACGCTTCGTGGATTAGAGTTTAATTCGTAGCTTTTCCCCGCTTGCTTTAATTCTTACTTCACGACCTGGTACCCATTGCCGAGCGGTGTGCCTTTGGCCACTCTGGAAACTCAGGTGCGAGACAGTCTCACACCAAAAATGGTGCTCTATGCCTCACACCAAAAATGGTGCTCTATGCCTCACACCATTTGGTGTGAGACTGTCTCACACCTGAGTTTCCAGAGCACTCATATGTACTCGAGGTTCTTTTGTGTTATAGTCCGTGGACGAGCCGGGGCAGCAGAAGGTGCAGCTGCGCCAGGACTCGTCCGTGTCCTCCGACTCGTACAGCCAGACGTCGTCGCCCAGCTACACCAGCAAGACCATGGAGACGCCTCTACTGCCGCATCACAAGGCCAAGAAGAAGTCCGGGTCAGGGTAAGTCGTCAACCTCGCCGACGTTAGGCCTGGTAATATGACATGTGCAAACGGATTGCACCTGCTTGGACTTGCCGTGGGCTGTACTTGTGCGTTCCTCTACAGTTGCGGAGCAGGACGATCCTTGACGCGCAGTGCGGGCGTCGTGGGGTCAGAGGACTCCTGCACGGACTCGGCATTGGGGTCGGCGTCGACGGGCGACCGCTCGGCCACCAATTCGACGTCGGCCATCACCAAGAGCAACTCGACTCCCGCGTCCCTGCAGGCCGTGGTGCGGCTCAGCGGCTCCAGCATGTCGCTGCACCACAAGATCATCCGTGACCACATCCGGCGGCCGTCCGTGCTGCGCGCCAGGACCATCAAAGTCAACAAGTTCCAGGCCATCCAGCTCGCTTTCAACGCCGTCGCGCTCGTGGCAATCGCGCTGGGGCTCACCGCCTACTTCCGAGGTGAGAACCTGACACCGTACAGACTCTGTGTAACAAAATGTTCGTGCATAACAGCAGTTGTTGCGTTCATAATTTTACGTTACCGTTGTTACACCCCTGTGTTACTCAAAGTGGTAAATGTAACAAATGTGGCATGCACCAATATCTGTGACAACAGCTACACTGCTAATTATGCACGAGAAGCATAGCTCTACAAGGCAAAAGGGGCTACCCGCGGTCAGACGGGCAATCATTCATTGGATATTCTCTATGATATACTCATTTTAAATTTCCCTTATTGCAGCAAATCCCTCTGTTAAGTACATCAACACAGAAGTTGGCAACCCGTTACCAGGTTAGTTAACAAACAGCCAAATAAATTTCCACGAAACATAATAAAAATACATCGCGCCAACTAAAATCTTTCCATTTTGCAGGCGTGTGTATGCCCGTCATCGTCACGTTCTGCCTCAGCCATCGCATTCCTTACAACTACACCATGGTTCCGAGCTACGTTGGACACATGTCCCAGACAGATGCGCAACAGGTCAGTGTGGGACTCTAAAGAAAACCAAGTAGCTACAACAGTCCAAAAAGTGGGGAAAGCGTTACGGAGCGAGGCATGCCCAAACAATGTCGGCACCACCCTTGCGGCGTTCTGTACTAGAGGAGCGAGGAGGAAAAAAAGGGGGGGGGGATTTTTCCTTCTGGAAGAGGCAGTCTTGGGTACTGACTAACGGGCTCGAATACATACGTTGCTGACTGATTCGACTAAAATTCGGTGTGCATGCATGGGTGTTTAGGACATTCAGTTCTACGACGCACTGGTGGACGTGCACTGCTACGAGCTGTCGGCGCTCTTCCTCTGCACCATCTTCGCGCCCAAGTGCGGCGCGGGCGGGCGGCAGGTGAAGCCGTGCCGCAGCCTGTGCCGCGAGATGATGCGGCGCTGCGAGTTCTTCCTGGAGGTGTTTGGCCTGCATTTCGAGCAGCTGGTGCGCTGCGACAACTTCCCCGAGTACGGCTCGGCCGAGTACGACGGCGAGGAGTGCGTCGGCCACCACGAGTACCTCGAGGCGGAGCAGCGCGCCAGAGCTCCAGGTGAGACGACACTTCGTGACCGTTATTTCAGTGAATTACTTTAGAATTCTGAGAAAGTGACATCGAACTGCGGCAATGTTTGTGCGTGCAGCCTGCGCTGACGGATTTCTCTGCGACAAGACACGATGCATCCCGAAGGACTTCCGCTGCGACGGCCACCAGGACTGCGTCGACGAAACAGACGAAAAGGACTGCCACTGTCCGACAGGTATGCGACGTGTAGTAACGAGGCGGCCATGGCGTCGTGGTGACGGGGAGAGGGTGTGTGCTGGTGTGACGGCGTCCACTACATTCCTGTATTGTTTTCCGAGCATGCAGTCCATGCCCCTGTTTGACCTCCCTTTGTCGTTGCAGGCTGAGAAGACCTTGAGCGCCCAGTGAGTAGCGACCTATGTAATATTAATATTTTTGTCTTTTGCACCTTTTTTGGCCGATTTCGCACTCCAAATTATCACCCTTTATGTATTTTTCACGTGGCATGATAGCTCGTCTCGTTTCTTTTCTGTTATTTTTTTTTTTTTTTGGAGTTCACGAGTATTATCCCTATTGTTAATATTTTGCTGCACCAATACCTTTCTGTTTACTATTATGAGACCCAAACATCGCTGTGAAGTGTTGTGCTGAATATTTTTCTCGCAGTACCAAGAAGTGTTTTGACGCACTATTTTGGTTTTATTTCCCTTTGTGTTGCAAATTAATTAAGTGGCGGTGATGCTTTGTTTCTGGTTTTATTATTTTTCATTTATTGAGATGTAAAAGTAAGGAGTCTTTTTTGACGCCTTTCTTCTGGGTATTACATACTCTTTATTATATATTTTTTGTTTCTTGCACCCCAACAGAAGCAGCTTGAAGCGCCTATATTATTTATTCACCTCCCCGTATCACACATGTGTTGTTATTTCCAGTCACGTTATTCGCAGTTGGTGATGGTGTCGGATGTACTGCATGTCCATGCACTTTGTGTAGTCGTCCTGTTGGTGTGCGGTTGGGAGAGGGGGTCTGTGCCCGCCTGCACCTCCGCGTTGCACTGCGATTCACACTGAATGCACTTATTTGCACCACTTGCACCGCCGGGCGGCCCTCTCTTTGTCTCTCTCTGTCGCACTCCAAGCTCGGCGCGGTGCACCACTCACTCCCACGCCGCATGCCTCCCTATACTTTTCATGCCGGACAGTCCTAGAAAAATATAAGAAATTAAGTCCGTGCCGTTTTGTTAATTCTGTTTTTTCTTTCTTTATTTACCTTGACTTTGGTGAACGAAATAATAAATGTCAACGTTTTGTCAGTAATGTGGTGCCAGGAAAGCGTTTCAATGCTTTGTGCATTTTTTTGTAGGTGCACTGTACCGCTTGCAGCCAAGCGGTCGGGTTAGCCTATTTCCAAGTGACCTACCCGTACAACCAGCTGAGCCTGCGTACGGTCCACTATTTATAATATTTAAAGACAGTGAATTGCATTAACTAAGCGGTAAACTGCCTACCTTGAATAAAATCCAGAACGCACCGAAATTTTCTTTTAAATCACCCCAACACCAAAATCCGTGGGGGCCGCAGCGCCCCATCGGAGTGAACGTGGTTGCTTTGCTCGCATGCAAGCGTGCGTCTGAGTTGCCTCTGTGGTCGGAGCCGTGAGGCACCATTGCGACGGAAGCAGACCCGTCCTCACGCCTGCATGCAGGCTAGTACACGTATCCACTCCAATGGAACTGGGCGCCTATCCTGTATTTCCTGAAATATTTATTTGATAAAATAAATAGTACTCCTTAGGCTGCCGTCTCATTCTCTACGACCGCCATTGGTTGCAGGCACCGAACATTGCGGAGAAAAGAAGTGCATTTCCCACAAGCACGTGTGCAACGGAGTGGTGGAATGTCCGCACGGCCAGGACGAGCGGAACTGCAGTGAGTGACACACACAGTCAGTCCCCACTGAGCGCACAACACGCGAGTACCCATCGGACTCTTGCTTGCAGTACGTTTGTCGGAGTCCATGGGGGACGTCGGGTCCGGGAAGATCGAGGTGTTCCACCCCGACAAGAAGGAGTGGCGCGCGGCCTGCGTCCAGAACTGGCAAAAGGAGTCTTCCGCCCAGGCTGTCTGCTCCATCATGGGCTACAAGTACGCATGAGCTTCAGCGTGAGTTTAGCTCATCGTGGCGCCCCCTCTAACCCCTGCCTTGCCCCGCAGGGGAGCCAACGACAGCAGGCTGATGTTGTGGGGCAGCGACCGGCCCGTCACGGCGCCCGCCATGGAGCCCGACGCGGTGCCCGTGCACAAGTACACGCGGGCCAACCTCTACTCGCTGCTCCGCAATTGCTCCTCGCACACCCCCACCGTGCACCTGTCGTGTTACAATTTCGGTTGGTGGAGTTCGAGTTCTTGTCTGTTTATTGTACGCGTAAAGTTTATCTTCTTGGCATATTGTTTTAAATTTGCAAATTTGCAGAGTGTGGGCGCCGCCGCCACCCTAGCGCACCGCTAAAGGCCACTGCGCGGATCATCGGAGGCTCTCCATCGCGCGTGGGCGACTGGCCTTTCCTCGCGGCCCTGCTGGGCGGCCCGGAGAAGGTCTTCTACTGTGCGGGTGTGCTCATCAGCGATCAGTGGCTGCTCACCGCCTCGCATTGCGTCGGCAAGTGAGTTCGACCAGCTGACACTCTCTAATGTTCTTCTCTTAATTTGGGG